TAGAATCCCTAATGAATAGTTTTCACCTTATCTAGATGGGTCTGGTGAAAGGAGATGAGGATAGGACTCTTGATTTAATAGTGAATAATTGTTATCAGGAGTAATTGTGATTGTCACAACTGTAAAGGTAGAAGTTGTTAACATAAAGAGGGGAGTAGTTAATCTTACATTCCAGGAACAGAGGACCCTAGGGCCATCAAGGGAGAAGAACATGAGCGGAATGTGGGACCTTATCCAGAGAATCAGCCACACTAGAGATGGAGGTAGCGATGAGGACACAGAGAGATAGAGCACCTGAGGACTCTAAACTCATGGAAAGAGAAAGGCTGTGTGCTGGCAGCCAGGAGGCAGGCTTGCAGAATGTGCCCTTTGGTTTTTTTGTTGTTGTTAAGTGCCGTTGAATCAGTTCTGACCCATAGCGACCCTGAATAGGATTTCCAAGGAGCAACCAGTGAGCTTGAACCACCGACCATGCAGCTCAAATGACTTTGCAGTCCAGTGCATTAGCCCACAACACCACACTTGGTTGTTTAAATGTCTATATATTCCTGAGTGTTTTTGTGTTCATTCAAAAAAATAAAAGCAGAAGGAATAGAAGCAAATACTGCTGAATGATAATGCATTGAGGGGATTGTAATCATTACAAGGATACGAAATACAATAGAATGAGTACAAAACTGATGTTCTCCCATATAAACGATCACTCAATTCACAATACAAGCTTAAAAAAAAAGATACTGGAACTTTTCCATGAACTTTGTGACGCTCTCTCATTCATTACCCCCCCTTCCAATATTTTTAAATAAAGAACAAAAAATGGAAAATAGACTTGAATGGTACTTTCATGAAAATATATCTAAATGGCCATTAAACATGAAAAATGTTCAACTAAGGAGAACTTTCACTGTTTTTAGGTTCAGTCAAGTCAATTTTAACTTACAGCAATACAATAAGACAGAGTTGAACTGCCCCACAGAGTTTTGTAGGCTGTAATAGAAGCAGATTACCAGCTCTTTCTCTTGTGAAGTGGATGGATGGGTTCAAACTGTCAACCTTCTGGTTAGTAGTCAAATATTTAACCAACTTTTAGAAAAGAAAAAGAAGATTTTAGTTATAGAAATTCTCTGAAGGAATTTAAGAGCAGATTGTTGTTGTTGTTAAGTACCGTGGAGTCGGTTCCGACTCATAGTGACCCTGCACAGGGTTTCCGAGGCTGAAAATCTTTACGGGAGCAGAAAGCCTCATCTTTCTCCCGCGGAACAGCTGGTAGTTTCGAACTGCCGACCTTGAGGTTAGCAGCCCGATTTGTGACCACTACACTACCAGATCTCCTTTAAGAGCAGATTAGACATAGCTAAAGAAAGAATCCTTACATGGCACTGTAGGATAAGAATTGGACCACAAGGTTGGTTTGAACTGCAAGGTAGGAGGTTCAAACCCACCAGTCACTCCTCAGAAACCCTATACAGGGTCGCTATGAGTCGGAACCAATTCAATGGCACTTAACAACAACAACAACAGAAAGAATGAATAAGATACATATGGAAGACAGATCTGAAGAAATTATCCATAATGTAGACTAGAGAAACACAACAGCAGAAAATGCCTGATATAATGGCAAGGTTATGGCTCCATAGGAACTTTCAGAGATTGCTACTGGGTATAACCACTATGGAAACCAAATGAAAATTATTTAGTAAAGTTGAACATTTGCATAAAGCTAAACATTTGCCTATAATGGTATATTCCCAAGAGGTCCTCTTATACATGTATATTTAAGTTGCTGTTGTTGTTAAGTGCCACGGAGTTAGTTTGGACTCATAGCTATCCTGTATAGGGTCTCCAAGGAATAGCTGGTGGGTTTGAATCACCAACTTTATGGTTAGAAGTCCAGTGCTTATCCTATAGCACCACCCCAGAAGTCCTGCATATCTAAGTGGTGGTGCTGTGATATAGAGTCGGTTCCGACTCCTAGCAACCCTGCATAGAGTTCCCAAGGCTGTAAATTTTTATGGGAGCAGAAAGCCTCATATTTCTCCAACAGAACAGCCGGTCGTTTCAAACTGCTGACCTTGAGGTTAGTAGCCTGACTCATAATTATTATGCTACCAGAGCTCAAAAATGTTCATAACAGCATATTTGTAACAGCTTACATTAGAAACAATCCAAATGTCCATCAGGACAATAAGTAAACATAGAGTATTCAATGGAATATACTGCTTACTTGCTGAGTGTTATTGAGCTGGTTCTGACTCACAGTGACCCTGTATAGGGATTCTGAGAAGTGGCTGGTGGGTTTGAACTGCCAACCTTACAGCTAGTTGTCCTGTGTCTTTCCTACAGCACCACACCAGGACTCTCAACCATGAGAATAAATAAAATAATGTTATATGTGATAACATTGACTAAAACTCACAATTACAATGCTGAGTAAAAGAACCAAGTCCAATAATAACACTTTCAAATGTGATTTCATCTAAGTAAAATTCAAAACAAGCAAAATAAAATTATAATGTGTAGGGGTAAATTTATGGATTATAAAACTATATAAAGAATAGCAAGGAGACAATCATCAAAAATATCCAACTAGTAATTATTGGTGAAGGAAGAGGATGTGATCCAAGATAGGCAACAAGTTTCAAAATTCTTATAAGCAGAAAAACAAAAAACTGGGAGCCAGCAATTACACTTCTAAAAATAATTATATCACAAATCCATGCATCAGTATTTAGAAAAATGTGCACCACAGTACTATTCATAGTTGTTGTTAAGTGCCATCAAGTCAGTACCAACTCATAGCGACCCTGCATAGGGTTTCCAAGGAGCAGCTGGTGAACTTAAACAACAGATCTTACGGTTTATACTGACTTTGCAGCCCAGCACATTAACCCATAGTGCCACACCAGGACTCCATTATTCATATCATAGCAAAACAATACAGGGTTAGATAAACAATGACCTAATTCCATAATTACACAGATAAATATTTATTGATATAGCTATGAAATATTCTAAAAGAAGAGACTTTAATATATATATATATATATACGTAACAGATCTGAAACATGAACTGGACAAATATACATCATAAAATTTAACAGAATCTATTTCTAGGTTCTTATAGATCTGTTTTAGAAGAAGTGCAGCCAGAGTGCTCCTTGGAGGCCAAGATGGCTAAACTTCGTCTCTCATACTTTGGACATGTTGTCAGGAGAGAACATTCGCTGGAGAAGGATGTCATGCCAGGTAAGATGGAGGGTCAGAGAAAAAGAGGAAGACCCCCAACGAGATGGATCAGCCAGGTGGCATCATTGATGGTGTCAAGTGTGGCAGTGGTAGTGAGTTGGCCCAGGATCGGACATTGTTTCGTTCTGCTGTGCATGGGGTCGCTATGAGTTGGTTCCAACTCGATGGCACCTGACAACAACATTTCTGGGTTATGATATTATGGTTAAGGTTTGTTTTCTTTGCACTAATTGATGCTTCTGTTGTTAAATGCCGTGGAGTTGGTTCCCACTCATAACAATAAGTGGGATAAGTTTTCCGAGGAGCAGCTAGTGGGTTTGAACTGATGGCCTTTTGTTTGGCAGTCCAGCATTTATCCAACAGTGCCACACCTGAACTACACTGATGCTCCTAGAACTTTTAAAAATAAGCATACACTGCCTTTTCATTTGAAAAATAGTTCTTTTTTTTTTAAGTATCAAGAAATTATTGCAGTTTAAAAACTGTTGTTGTTGTGTGCCGTGGAGTCAGTTCTGACTCATAATGACCTTGCACAGGGTTTCCGAAACTGTAAATCTTTACAGGAGCAGAAAGCCTCATCTTTCTCCCACGGAACAGCTGGTAGTTTAGAACTACTGACCCTGAGATTCGCAGGCCAATTCGTAACCACTCTGGTACCAGAAATTGACAGAATTTTAAACTCCAACTAAAGTTGTTTTTGTTTTTCTTTTACTTTTGTGTAGTTAGCACCATTCAGGAATTTTGCTAATAGTCCAGAGTGTGAGTATAACACTGTAACTCTGAGTTTTATGGAGAACCATTGCCCACTTCACTAATACTTGACCCCGTACTATTCAGGAATGCTGGAATCCCACTCTGAATTGTGTTTCCCAAGATTTTTATTGTTATTGCTGTTGTTTCCCTTTAGTCTTTAAATGATGTAGTGACTGAAAAGCAGTATTTAACATTGGGATACCACACTGAAACAAACTCGACTACACTTAACAACCACCACCACCAGATAAGGACTACTGCTGTGGCACTGTAGGATCAGCACTAGATTGAGAATCACAGGGTTGGCAGTTCAAACCCACCAGCTGTTCTTTGGAAACCCTATACAAGGTTGCTCTGAGTTGGAACTGACTTGATGGCCCTTAACAATACCACCAGATAAAGAAGGTAAAGACTCTCATGGATGGGTGTCAAGAAATAAAATAGGGAAATCTCATCCACATATCTCACTTTAGGGAAAGGACTTAATTAAGTAAAAGGGTAAGTCAAAAAGTATTGCTACTAGGTTTCTAGTTCATACATACATGGGTTTATCCAAACAAAATGTGCATAAACATGTCTCTGCAATCAATGGATGGCTGGAGACAAATTTTCTCATGAATACACTTATGTCAGTATCGTTAAGGTGCCTTCGAAAAAAGATCCCATCAAAACTGGCTTCCGAGGGGATCTTCTGGGCCAGTTAGAGTCGTGGCAGAAAAGTCAGCTCGGGCTAAGGCAACTGCTTTTTGGGACTTCAAAGGGATCATCTTGATAGATTTTCTCAAAGGCCAAAGGATTATCACAGGAGCTTATGAAGAAGAAAACTGAAAAATGCATTGGTGAAAAAAAGACCAGGAAAGTTGTGCTGAGGAGTTTTTTTCCACCATGACAATGCAAGTTCACATTCTTTTATGGTGGCAAGAACTGTCCCATGAGAATTTCATTGGGAAACCTTATTCTATCCACCTTATAGACCTGATCTTGCTTTGTTAGACTTCTTTTTGCTTCAAAAATTAAAACAACAACAACAAAACATTTAAAAGGAATGAAATTTGAGTCCCTCAAGGATGTCAAAAGTGTCATTTTTACGTGCTAGAAATGGAAGAGTGCAGAATTTTTTGAGGAAGGGTCAGATAGAAACACCATCTTCAGAAGTGTATAAACCTAGATGGAGGATATGTCAAGAAACAATAGCTTCACACTTTGCTTTTTTTTAAAAATAAAGGTTTCTATGATTTTATAGTGATACTTTTGACTTACTGTCATATTAAATATGCCTAAGATTAAAGAAAGCACTAAGTTAAAACAACACTGGGTGTAGCATAAACTTGGAATACAAAAATTACTAATTGTAGATAGAGATGAATATAACTGACTATGAACTAATGTATTATTTGGCAGTCATTCATGGATGTTGACATTAGTTTGGGGGAGTTTAATTTATTTGTGTTTAGTATAGGCATTTTTTCCTCATAAAAAGTTTAAGTGATTTCCCCACCCCCCAAACTCTTCATGGAATGTGGTAGCCATCTGTAGTTATTTAAGTATTTATAAGCTTGTTTCGAATTTAAGCATTTTTAAATTACCTGACAGTTTTTCAAGAATCTAATTATAAGTAAGTTGATAGGTATAATCACATTAAAAATTTTTAAATCTTTGAAATATAAACATCTTCAGTGATGTTATATTTGCTTTGGTTTAAAACTTTTCCTAGATACAATATTTCTGGCCTCCAACTATTGCTGGTTTTAAATTTTAGCTTAGTACTTAAATTTGTGTTTTCTCTACCACCAAGTGAAAATAACAAAAACAAACAAGTTCCAAATGGAATTGTAGCATTCCTTTCATATTACTTATATCAGCAAGGCTATAAGTTTGCCCATAATTTGCTCATGGATTTGACTGCTAAAATGAACTACAGTAACCACTTTGTCTTTCCCAATCCAGCTGAAATCACCTTCCTCCTGACTCTTGTTAAGAAGTACTTTCAAAGTGTTTTCTAACAAACTGGGATCTGTTCCAGGCTCTTCCTTTGACAAAATCTCACTGAGCGGACTCTGGACAATTCCATCTTCCTCAGCAGCAGCATTATTAGTCTGCTGTCCATCTAATGAAACAGTGGATGAGGCTGAGTAAATATTTCCTAAATGGTCCACAATAGGAAGCAAATATAATTCTGGTTGAAGAGCCTACAATAGAGAGAAAAAACATGTAATTTTTTAAAAGTAAAAATTTAAAATAATTTTTAAAATATATTAATAAGTTTAAAATATATTACATACATATGGAGGAGCAAATGATTTGAGTTTCAGTTCTGATTCTTGCTTTACCTTCACCTAAAAATAAATGAGAAAAAATAAAAGGTTTTGTAGGACTTTCAAGTATTTTTACTTTCACTCTTTTTGCAGAATATATATACAAGGAAGCTTCAAAAAGTTTGTGGAAAATGCCATTATCTTTTAATTCTATTTTTTCCATGAACTTTTTGAAATCCACTTATACTTTAGATAGAAATAAAATTTGAAAGATAGTAATTAACTTTAGGTAAGATTTTTAAATGTTATAATATAATCTTATTTCTATTCATGAAATCAAATATAATAGAATTATTGAATAATTATTATGGTTATCATTTGTATGGATTCACTATGTGGCAGGCACTATTCTAAAGATTTTGTACACATTAATACACTTAAACCTCAAAACTTCTTGTGATAGACACTATTATCTCTAATTTACAGGCAAGGAAATTGAAGTGCAATGAAGTTGAGTAACTTGTCAAAGATTTTATAACTAGGAAGTTTCCATACTGGGATTCAAAACCAGGTAATCTGGCTCCATAAGCCAACCTTATAAGTTTTATTGCTTACATAGTCAACCCACAGACTTAATTTGTTATCTACGTCTATATTTATGCACATTGTGTGTCAAGACAGTGCCCTACATGGTAGGGATACACTGATAAACCAGACCAAGTCCTTACTCTCATGGAATTTACATTCGTTGTGGGAGAGTAACTGTTAAATAAATGAGTTAGGGTTATGATAAGTGCTTTATGAAAATAAAGTGATATAATAGAAAGCAAGGGGACCTTGTTACTTCTCTCCACAAGGTGTGGCACATCTCTTCTCCAGTCTTCCTCCATGCATTTCCTTTACCATCTTTGCACAGATATGCCAGTATTCACATAGCAGTCTCATATATCATACTTTTTGAATGTCTAATGTGCTAAGCATCGTGTTAGGTGCTGGAGAAAATACAGAGACGAATGAGACAAAACTTGTTCTCAAAGATGTTACTCTTTCTCTTTTGAGGGATAATGTATATACAGTAAAGTATAATCATTTTAAATGAGCTCTGGTAGAGTATTGGTTATGAGTCAGGCTGCCAACCTCAAGGTCAGCAGTTCGAAACTACCAGTGATTCTGCGGGAGAAAGATGAGGTGTTCTGCTCCAGTAAAGATTTACAGCCTTGGAAACCCTGTGCAGGGTCACTATGAGTCAGAACCAACTCCATGGTACTTAACTACAGGGGAAGAAAAAAAAAAAAATTTAATTTAGATGGTCAAAGAAAGTTTCTTGTAAAAGTAATACTTGAGAACTGAATTACAAATAGAAGCCAGCAGACTGAAAATCATGTGGAGTGATGTGCAGGCTGCTGTAAAAACCAGAAATCTGAAATGAACTTGGTATATTTCAGAACGAAAGGAGCTATGTATGAAGTTTAAGGAGCTCTGGTAGTGTAGTGGTTACGAGTTGGGCTGTGAACCTCAAGGTCAGCAGTTCGAAGCTACCAGCTGTTCTGCAGGAGAAAGATGAGGCTTTCTGCTCCCGTAAAGATTTACAGCCTCGGAAACCATATGCAGGGTTGCTATGAGTCGAAACCGACTCCACGGCACACCACCATCACCATGTATGAAGTTTAGAGCCAAGGGGATAACAGTAGCCTAGGGCCACAGCTCCCTGAATGTACCTGATGTCTTCAGATCTCGGAAGCTAAGCACAGTAGGTCCTGGCTACAACTTGGATGTGAGACTGCCTACGAATCCTAGGGGTGGTAGGAGTCAAGTTTGAAGTCCTGAGCTGGCGCTGTGGGCTACTGCATCAGACTGCAAAGTCGTTTGAACTGCAAGGTCAGTGATTCAAGCTCACCAGCTGCTCCTTGGAAACCGTACACAGGGTTGCTATAGGTCAGAATAGATTTGACGGCATTTAACAACAATTCCTTTGTTATTGTTAAGTGCCATCCAGTCGGTTCCGACTTACAGCAACCCTATATAGGGTTTCCAAAGAGTGGCTTGTTATTGTTGATGTGAAGTGCTGTTGAGTTGGTTCCTACCCACAGTGACCCTATATAGGGTTTCCGAGAAGGGATTGGTGAGCTTGAACCATCGACCTTGCAGTTCAAGGCGACTTTGCAGTCCAGTGCATTAACCCACAGTGAGTGAGTTTGAATTGCCAACCTTGTGATTAAGTAGCCCAGTACTTATCACACAGTGTCACACCAGGATTCCTTGTTGTTGTTAAGTGCCATCAAGTCGGTTTTGACCCATAGCAACCCTGTATAGGGTTTCTGAGGAGCCACTGGTGAGCTTGAACCACTGACATTGTGGTTCTAACAACCTTGCAGTGCAGCGCATTAAACCATAGCGCCACACCAAGATTCCTTAGGCCCTCCTTATCTCTACCTGAACCTTTTGAAAAAAATCTTGTAACTAGAATCCTTGCTTTGATTCTCTTTCCACATCCTTTCATTCCTCTTGGCAATGTTCAATTTCCACTGAATGTTATCATGTCACTCTCTTGGTCAAAAACTCAGTGGTCTCAGAAAAAAATCTAAACTCATTAATCTGACTTTCAAGACTCAGTAAACTATTTTACATTTTGTTTCTCACTATTCCTTTGCACAGAGTCCTTGTGTGGCATTGTAGGATAAGCATTCAACCACAAGGTCTGTCTGAGGAGCAAGGTCAGTGGTTCAAACCCACCAGCCACTCCTCAGAAACCCTAATCAGAGTCGCTATGAGTTGGAACCAACTCAACGGCAACTTAACAACAACGCTCCTTGTCACACAATCCATACTCCAGTAAATAATGAAATCACTTACTCTTTCTCACAAGTTTGCTTTTCCATTTATGCGTTCATTCTATTTTTTCTGCACAGAAAGTTGGTCCCACTTTCATTACAAAACCAAATATTTATCTTTCAAGATGCAAACACTTCTTAAAGTTCTCCATCCCATTCTCCTCTTAATGAAAGTAATATTTTACTTAATGAAAGTAGTATTTTTCCTTTGAATAGCTAAAGTATACTATTTATCTTAATTTATGTATTTTTATGCACAATTACACTGAACATTTTAGGACAGTATCTATGTCTACCCCCCTCTAGTTTTCTATATAGAAAAACATCAATTAACACTCATTGAAAACAGTAGAAAATGACAAGGTTTAAAAGTTGACCCTTAAAATCTTTTCTAACCTAGGATTTTGTGATTGATATTTTAAAAATTTGTACACATGAAAAATAACAAAAAGTTATGAGCGTTGTTACTTTTTCTTTCTTCTTGAGGAAGACTAATGTCATGATTAATCAATCAATTGATATTTTAATATACTAAATATAACTCCTAATGACAAATACTTCTTTAAATTTAGTAGCTATTTCTAAGAATCTCATATAGTAAATTCCTCTATAGTAATAATTTTTGGAAATTCTTTATATTTTCCATTATCGCTCATAATTTAATTTGTACAATTAACATTTGAATGCTTCTAGGTACAAAACATCTTCTTAAGCACTGGATATAAATTCAGTGGTGAATAAAATAAAGTCCTTGACCCCAAGGTGTTTCAATCTAATGGTAGAGTTGGATAGTAAAGAAATAACCATATAAGCAAACAATAAAATGACATAATACATTAACTGGGAAGCTAGTGATGCTGTAGCATAAGCATTGAACTGCTAACCCCAAGGTTGGCAGTTCAAACCCACCAGCCACCTCCTTTGGGAGCGAGATTAGGCTTTACACCCTAGGAAACCCTATAAAGGGTGACTAAAAGTCAGAACTGACTGGATGGCACCTAACTTGATGGTATGGTGCCGCAGGATGATACACTGAAGTGCAAAGTCAGTTTGAACTGCAAGGTCAGTGGTTCAAACCCACCAGCCACTCCTCAGAAACCCTATACAGGGTTGTATGGGTTGGAACTGACTCAATGGCATGTGACAACAGGAACAACAACAAACATTGACTAGAGTGGAATAGGAATATATGCATTTTAAAGAGCTTAAATGTAGAAAATCTTAATTTAAAAAATAAACTTTACATAGATACAAGAAACAAAACATTTTGAGATCTGATGACTTACTGGGTTGGGAATTCTAGCTAGGAATACTCTCTAATTAGAAAACCCTACCATTAAGTCATATTGTTGTAGTTCGTTGCTGTTGAGACGCTCTCATACATGGCAACCTAATGTACAACAGAACAAAATGTTGCACTATCTTCAGAGTTGTTCATATGTTTGAGTCCATTGTAATGGCTATTACAGTAATCTATCTCATAGAAGGTTTCCCTAGATTCTGATGGTCTTTTGCTTTACCAAACATGATGTCTTTTGCTAGAGATTGGTTATTCCTGATGATGTGTCCAAAGTACATGAGTCAAAATTTTACCATTCTTGAGTCTAAGAAGCATTCTGGTTGCATTTCTAAGACTGGTTTGTTCATTCAATTAGCAGTCAGCATTATATTCAATATTCTTTGCCAACACAACTATTTGAATGCACCAAATGCTCTTTCTTCTTCAGTGTTCACATGCATATGAAATATTCCAATTATACATAAAGTAGCAGCAGGATCACTCACACTGAATAAGTTTCTGTAGAACTTCTAGACTAAGACAGACCAGAAAAAAAGACCTGCAATCTATTTCTGAAAATCAATTAATGAAAACCTTATGGATAGCAACAGAACATTGTCCATGAAATCAAAGAAACCACAAATAGGAGTATTTAATATAAAATTGTTGTTTTTAAGTGACATCAAGTATAGAGTTTCCAAGGAGCATGTGGTGGTTTTGAACCAGAGAGCTTGTGGTTAACAGTATAGTGTTTATCCTACAGTCAATTGTTGTTGTTGTTGTTAAGTGCTGTTGAGTTGATTCCAACCCACAGTGACCCTGTATAGGGTTTCCAAAGAGCAGCTGGTGAGCTTGAACCGCCGACCCTGCAGTTCAAACAACTTTGCAATCTGACACATTAGCCTACAGTGCCACACCAGGACCCCAGTCAACAGCTGACAGCAAAAATAGTTTGGAGCTATATCATTTTTGTATCAAATTTAGTTATTTGTGGTTCAAGAAATGACAATCCATTTTTCTCCAGAATATAAGTACTTGTTTTAAAACCTTTGAGTATTTAAATATTTGTTTTTTAGTGTGGTCGAGTCAGTGCCACCTCATAATGAGCCTGGATAGGGTTTCCAAGGAGCAGCTGGTGAGTTTGCACTGTCAACCTTGTGGTTCAAACCAACCTTTCGGTCCAATGTTTTATCCCATAGCACCAGATATGTAATTTATGTTGTTGCTGTTGTTAGGTGCCAACAAGTCGGTACCGACCCATAGCGACCTTATACAGTAGAACAAAACACTGCCTGATCCTGGGCCAACCTTACTACTACTGCCATGCTTGAGTCCATCGATACTGCCACTTGGCTAATCCATCTCGTTGGGGGTTATATATATACAAAATTTATATAACCACATTAAAATTTGTCTTCCTTTTCTTCCTAAGGAAATTCACAGGTAAAATAAGCCCCTTGTCATTTTAGTAACTGTTAACATTCTATTCAAACTCATTTGTTCTTGATGATCCATAAGCTTAGTGATATTTCCATTTCATGAGTTTCTATTTGTATTACATACCTCATAATATGTTAAACAGCTTAGTTGATAAACATTTAAGAAGGATAACTTGGTAAAGTATGCTTTTCTTTAACCAGAAGGAAAGCAAATTAAAAACTTACCACAGCTAGATTATTTCCTATACATTTCAGAAATAAAAATTTTTCTGCAACAGCATCTTCTCCAAGGAATTCACTAAGACGCTCCCTCAGGGCTTGCAAAGTAAGTTGAGGAGATACTCTGAAAAATCATGACATTACTTTATAATATAAAGCTAAATAGATTGTAACTATAGTAACTCTATTAATAATTCAGCAGCTTTAGTCAGTTCTCTGAAACATCAGTACTGATTTAATGTATTAGATGTAACTTAATAGGTTTTTATAGGAAGACTAATCATTCACTTTGTCAGTCTTCAATAAATGTTTTTTCTTTTTTTAATGAATGAATAAAAGTCCACCTTTTGAAATTAAAGCTTTAAATGAATACTGTTTCTAAAAGTCATTTCATATTGGGAAGGAGAATGCATCTCTATTTTTATCATACACATCCAATTTTCATTGTTACAATAAAAAAATTGCTAAGGAAATCATAAATTTTATATACATAATAAAGCATGATTTAAGCACAGATATTAATTTTGTAAATTTGGTAGGATTAGATAGTTTTTAAAAATATATTTGATGATAAAATGCTGTAGACACCACATCTTTTTTCCTTAGATTTACAGTTTAAAGATGGCTCTCATGCTATTCTTTTGGGTTCTTGTTTAAGAGTTGTGGGAAAACATCAAAGAGTTCATACATGAAGAAACTGAAAGGTTGTTATAAAGACAGTAACAAAGAAAATAACCAAAGTAGATGTCAGAAGTGACTCTGAAACTTTCTTACTTGAGTGCAGAGTAGCAAAAGTGAGTGGAGGAAATAATGAAGTAAAAGAGTTACACAGAAGATTTGAAAGAGTAGCTTGAGAAAACAAGATAAAGTATTATGATAAAATCTGCAGTTAGAAAACCAAAAGAGAACATGTTTGGTATTTCCCAAGCTGAAAGAACTGAAGAGAAAAATTGAAGCCTTGAGTTGCATTACTGAAGTATCCTATGGGGAAAATGTTTAATTATGCATGGAGCATCAAAAGAAGATGGAAGGAATACAGAGAGTACTGTATCAAAAAGAATAGGTTGACATGCAAATATTTCAGGAGGTTGAATAAGATGTTAAACCTTTGCTGAAGGAATTGGTAAAAAATAAGCTCTAGTATTGACAAAATCCCAACTGAGATCCTTCAACAAACTGATGCAATGCTGGAAGTACTTACTTATCTATGAAGACAAATGTGGAAGACAGCTAACTGACTGGAAGAGATCTATATTTGTGCACATTCAAAAGAAAGGTAATCAAACAGAATGTGGAAATTATCAACAATATCATTAATAATACATGCTAGCAAAATTTTGCTAAATATAAATTTTAAATTATTGCAGCTACAGCCACAGGGAACTGTCAGGAGTGCGAGCTGAGCTCAGAAAAGGATATGAAATGAAGGATATCATTGCTAACACCAGATGGACCTTGGCCCAAAGCAAATAATATCTGAAATATATTTAAAATATAGCAAAATTTTGCTAGCTTGTGTAATTAATGATATTGTTGATAATTTTGACATTCTGTTTACCTGTATTTTATCAACTTTAAGAAGGCGTTCAGCTATGTGAATCACAAATTATAGATAATATTGCCAACAATGGGAATTCCAGAATACATAACTACATTCATAAGTAATTATGCTTACACAGATCAAGAAGCAGCCATTTGAAAAGAATACCAGATAGTACTTACTGGAAAAGATGTTCTACAGGGTTATGTTCTTTCACCTTAATTATTCAATTAATATATTTAGCAAAAAATCTGAGAAGTTGGACAATATAAAGAAGAACATGACAACACAGTTAAAGGAAGACTAATTAATAAACTACAATATGCAGATGACACAACATTCCTTGCAAAAATGAATATGACTTAAAATACTTACTGATGAAGATCAAAGATTATAGCCTTCAGTATGTATTACACCTGAATGAGAACAAAAGGAAAATCCTCACAACTCAAATGAAAAACTGAGAAAAATTCAGTTTTTCAACAATTTCACTGTACTTGTATCAACAACCAGTGTTCATGGAAGTGGCTACCAAGAAACACAGCAAGGTATTATATTGAGCTAACCTGCTGTAAAACATCTCTTCAGAGTTTTAAAAAGCAATAATGGCACTTTGATGACTAACGTGAGCCTGACCTAAACCATGATATTTTCAGTTGCCTCATATGCATATGAAAGCTGGGGGAAAAAAGCAGAATAATTAATCCATTCCTATTATGGAGTTATCAGAGAATACTGAATATAGATAAAACAGCCAAACTATGAACATATCAGTCTTAGAAGATATACAACCAGAATGCTCCTTAGAAACGAGGATAGAAAGACTTAGAATCACCACTCGTCTGTCAGTTTGTCATACTGTGGTGGCTCATGTGTTGCTGCTATTCTGGACCATAAGCCACAGGTATTTTAAATACCAGCAGGGTCAACCACAGTGGACAGGTTTCAGATGAGCTTCTAGACGAACACAGACTAAGTAGGAGATACGGACTACTTCCGAATATTTAGTCATTGAAAACCTTACGAATAGCAGTGTAACACTGTCAGCACCAAATTACTGAATATTGACACATGAGGCACACCAGAATATTGTTAGATATAGTGCCAGAAGATGAGCCCCTCAGGTTGGAGGACACTCAAAATGTGACAGGGGAAGAGCTAGCTCTTCAAAGAAGAGATGACCGGGATGACACAAATGGAGTAAAGCCCTTGGGACCTTCATTTTCTGATGGGGCACAACTCAAAATGAAGAGAAATAGCTGTAAAAATCCATTAATAATCAGAACATGGACTGTACGAAGCATGAATCATGGGAAATTGTCAAAAATGAAATGGAACATATAAACATTGATATCCTAGGCAATAGTGAGCTGAAATGGACTGATATTGGCCATTTTGAATGTGACAATCACATGGTTTACTATGCAGGGAATGACAAATGGAAGAGGAATGGTGTTGCATTCATCATAAAAAAGAATATATCAAGAGCAGTCATGAAGTACAACTCTGTGTGTGATAAGATAATATCCATGCACCTACAGGGAAGACAAGTTAATATCACTATTATTCAAATTTATGCACCAACCACTAAAGCCAGTGATGATGAAACTGAAGAATCCTACCAACTTATTCAGTTCGAAATTTATCAAACATGCAATCAAGATGTATTGATAATTACTGGCAATTGGAAGGCAAAGGCTGGAAACAAAGAGGGAGAATCAGTAGTTGGAAAATATGGCCTTGGTGATAGAAACAAAGCTGAAGATTGCATGATAGAGTTTTTTTTTTTTTTTTTATTGTGAATGATGTGATAGTTTATATGGCAGAACATTACCTTTACATTCATCCTATAATATTTCGTTTCACTGCAATGATTACAATCCCCTCCATGCATCATTAAACAACCAAAGGGTACACCCCACAAGCCTGCTCCCTGGCCGCCAGCACACAGCCCCTCTCTCTCCCTGAGTCCAAAGTCCAGCCACTCCATCTCTCCACATCATCATCTCTCCCTCCATCTCTGGGGTCACTGTTTCTCTAGGTAGGGTCTTGCACTCCGCTCCTCTCTGTTGATGGTCCTAGGGACCTCTGCTCCTAAATTGCAAAATCAACCATTTCCCTCCTTTTGTTACAAAATATCTACCTTTTACATTTTCAACCCTCACAGTCAGTCCTGATAGCAGTTATTCACTAGTGTACCATAAGAGTCTTATTCCCATCTCCTTTCATCAGTCCCGTCCAGGCAGACTGGAAACCATACAGTGGAGATTCTACCTTCCCCCGCTCCCTCTTGAAATCTTGTAAGCCAGTCACTTCTTGCCTTTGTAGCCTGCCCCCTCCACCCGTCTTTTTGGGTAGTCATTGTCTAAGTTGCCCATCTCTGTCAACCCTGCATACTGAGGGGGTGGGAATGATCCTCCCTGTAAAGATTTGTTTCCTCTTTTGAGCTACTACATCTGTAAGTATAGGTCAAGCTGATCAAACTGTAGCAGATCACTCTTTTTTCCCTCTTCTTTCTTCTTCTAGTCGAGTTCTGATCATCCAGCCATTGAAGCCATGTCAAGTAGGTACTATTGGCAAGTATGGGTGTTCTTGTGCCTCTCCCCCCACTCCTTATCAGCTGGATGCTTCACTATCTGCTCTAGTCCTCTGTGGCCATGTCACTGCCTCTGGGCCCAGGAGTCCCTGGGTCTTGCCGTAGTGCTGGCCATCCAGGTCTCCACCGGGTTTACAGGAGTCTATTGAATGTGGATGGACTTAGCTCACTTCATTGTTGTTTTCCCCTCACTTCCCCTTATTGGTAACCAATGTGGTCACCAGCCAGACCACTAGCCTACTCATGTATTCCCCTTGAGTCTTAGTCTTGGAAGAGGGTTTGCCCTTAGGGGACCTGACCACTTGCCTTGATGGCTCCCAGGCGAACATTTTGCTTCTTCTTGGAGTAGTCAGTTGGACTACCATTATTGTTTTTGATTTTTCTTGTTGGTCTTTCTTTCAAGAATTATCTTCTGTTGTTCCAGCCACTCCAGGCTTGTCTGCTTGTCCTTTCAAGTGCAAATTTCCCACCTCAGAAGATGCTGGATAGGGTCCAGGATTCCACCTATGGTCTTATGCAATGCAAAAGCCACACGGGAAGCCTCCTTCCCTGGGCAAGTTCTAGCCCCATTTTAGGTATTCCAATCAGTTATAAGCTGAAGACACACTTACAAGCATTCTATGGTGATGTTTCTGGCTATTTCTCTCTTTCCCCCTCAAGTGTCTATTTTACAATGGTAGGCAAGGGAGACCAAGATTCAAAAGACAGCCAAGCATGATAACATTATTTCCCCTCTTTTACCCATTCAAACCATGCCTCAATCTCTGTATCCTAGAGCCCAGCTGTTCCAAGTTTATGCATACATCAATATTCACCTCTGTCCCACTTGGTCCATGCAAACCTGCCTAACTGTCCTCCCATCTGCCTTGTTCTTCCATTCCCCTCCCCCTTCTTGTGTATTGTACCCCCTCCCCCCAGCACCTAAGCTAGTCTGTGTCTATTCCGTACCCTGTGTGCTCCACCTTCCCCTCCCTCCCCTCACCCCATC